GGGTATGAAGCATACGAGCTTGTTGCATATCTGCCCGCGACAAGGCCTACATATGATACCTCTTGCTACCAGGAATTCATTTAGCCAAAAGTCATCGACCATTGGCTCACCTTTGCGGTTCGGGCATGAGAAGATCAAGCAGAGACGCAAAGGTCATGTTGCTTACCAGATCACTTCACTGCGCTTGCTTGAGGTCCATACACTGTTTCGTTCAGAGTATTCCCATCATTTTCAGGCAATTGCAGTTTCTGCGTTCCTTCCTTCAATCCAAGCCTTGCCGCCGGCATCGGGGGGGTTAAACAAGCGCAATGTTCCTGGAATGTTATAGGAGGCGCTTGCGAACGATATATCTTATTCTACACAGAGAACGGCCATCTAAGCAAATTCGTTCTGAACTGGCAATATTGTGCGACAAGGTTTGTCATCCCAAAACATCGCTTCTCGGTGCTCATCGAGAACTTCGGTTGCTATTGCCCGTCCATGACTCCTGGTCCATCTCTGAAATGCAATTTGCTGGATCAGACGTCCAAAAAGAAAATCAAAATCAATACCGGCCCTTGGAATCATCAATAGAGATAGCGACCGATGTACCCGGCGCTTCTTGAACTTGAAAGGTGGACCGAATGCGTTGTACTGCCAGATAGGAACTGTTGCCTGGGATCGGGTAAGCCTCGCAGCTACTCTGGAAACAACCAGCTTTCCTCCGGAGCGATTTGATAAAAGCGCTTTTCATCGGACGGCTACGAAAATGAGTTCCTCGTTCGCTGTCTTTGCTTTTCTTGTCAAGGTCAATCGACCCCAACAACACCTTCAATTGATCTTGCAGTACTCCAATATCTCATGGATCACTCAGCTCAATTTTAGCCGGTCTTTATGATTTAGTGCAGATATGCAGATAGCTAACCCAGGTTGCCCTCTCTGAAACCATCATTGACTGAAGCATCGGGTACCGTGTAATCGACCCTGGCGATTCTGAAGCACTGGTATGTGACGGCCAGAGCGAGGTGTGGGTAATGTCCTTCGGAGGGAACGATTGGGCACTAAGGCGTACTTCACGCACATCTTAGACCTTCTCGAATAGGTGTGCACAGATGTCGCAGATGAAGAGTCCAGTGACCTTCAGGACGTTAAGACTTCGCTTGTCTAAGGCTTGGGTTCTAGACGAATATAACCTGAGCACCAGATCCAGCGCAAAGTTAGTCCGGCAACCATCGCATATCTGTGCTGACTCACTGCCTTGGATTATGCGCAATCTGGGGTGTGTGAAGCTTACCCATCTATAGCCTGCGAGAGAGGACTGGATATATTCATGGTTGGCTCAACAAGCCTGCTTCTTCAGGACCTGAGAAGGGCCGACAAATAACCTCAAATCCACCGCATGGCTTACCAATTGATCTTCCGCCATGTGTACCTCATGGCCAGATTAAACCCACGTTCCTATAATTTCCGCGGCCTGTCTTTAGAGCGGACTTCTTTGGCCGTGGGAAAAGAAAAGTTGAACAGCGCCAGAGCAGCTTGGCGTAACAGACTGCCGGAACCAGATATCCCATGGCCCAGACAAGCTCAAAATGTCAGGCCTCAACAGCTTGAGTTCATTCGGACTCAGAAGCGTTCCTAGATGGCTGGAATGATGTCGACACGGTGGTTGTGAGCCTCGAAGTACTCATGGAATTGGGAATTCATTATCGCTTCTTGATCCATTTCAGGCAAATTCAATGCATCAGGGTATCTTCCGCGCCTCACAGTCGTTTGGAACGAGATATGTCTCTCGCCAGTACAGGAATATATTATGGAGTGGCTCAAACCTAGAGTTTCCTCCATTCTCCAACTACCCCTACTAATAATAGCCGGGGTAGCCGTCGCCTTCGTTCTTGGGTCGAGGAAGTTGTCCATCTATCATTGCGCATCGTTGCGAGCGCGAGGGCAACATGCAGAAGTCAAAGCCTTCTCCATGCTCTGGATTTCTTTTCTGACGCCACTTGACCTATAATCATCAATTACACAATTGAATTAATAGAAGATCAATGCAACAAGGGACACCCACTGTCTGTGGTTGAACGGAACTAGATCGACCTTCATACCATTGCCTACTTTCTGGAATTCATTTCGGCAAAATAACAGCCAGCATATGAATCAATGCGCTCTCAACGGTCGTGGTGCTCAGCACGCTGAAAGAGTAGTCCTTCTACCGGGGACACCGTGACATGTACTAACTAAAGGGCAGCTCACGCGTCAAGATAGGCCCAGCGGTGGTAGACAGCATCATTAGCAACACCACCACCACCATGTATGCCACCGCCCCAGCTGCGACAGCAGCAGCATAGTCCAGCCTATTTCCCAGAGATATTCTGTGTAGGTGCTTAAGCAGTGTTTATCACATCATAGAGCGTCTTATGTTGGCACAGCTGCGAGTCACGCTATCACCTCGTCTCAACTTGCCCTTGGCAATGGCAAGCCAGTTCCTTTCGCACCCTCGACCAGCCTCGACCAAACTCGATCAAACCCGGAACAGAAATATCGAATGACTGTATAGTCAAGTAGTCCCATTACGCTCTTGAGCTCTTCCTGATTTGAAGCATCTGCTTCTCCGCCGGGGCTGCGACGGCTTGAGAGCAATACATGGCTATTAACGCAATTCTCTTGGCTTGTACTGCCAGCGCATTGGTCCTGGAACTCAAGGACTGTAGGCTGTGTGTCTCATCAAACTAGGTAGGATTTCAGGGTTCGGTTGAAGGCATGAATACCTTTAGTGAGCCGGACCAACAGTCACCACGCCGTCAGCTAACGACAACGTTGGGTATGCCAAAAGAAAGGACACATGAAAGCACGTTGTCGAAGCGCTTCCCTTGCGCTGCGTGGCAGCGCAATTCTCTTTTTCAGATCAGATACCAATTTTGGTATTTCAGAGATGGCACACATCGGTCATCTCGAATGAAGGCCGACGATCGACTACTGAGACTGTGGCTCAGCCGTAGCCGATCTGAGATGTGACCGCTGAGGCCTCAATTAGTATTTGACTTCGCTAGGAGGAGCCTGCAGGTGCCAGGTGGCGGATGACACTCCATCTCCCACATCCAATCCTTTCTAGCATAGCTGGTTCTTCCGCAAAGATGGAGTTAAGCCGCAATATAAGATACTTCAATACCCCAGACTAACCAACTCCCTAGGCTGGAGGCGACCCACATGTTTATGAACCGTCCGCATCCTGCGCGGATTGGACATTGTCGATAAATTAAGCAGAGGACCTCTTCTGACTCGATATCCTGCAATAACATCCTCGCCTCCGCGACGATTTCTGCCGTGGAGCGAGATTCAGAGACCCACCCGAGGGTCAGATACACGACCAATATACTTCTCACGAGGATTATGGGTGGTCAGCTTGCGGAAGGTGGTAATCACTCGTCAACTACTTGAAAGATCAGGACTGGGTGCCACCACGTTTAATTAGTCAATAAATGAAAGGGATTCAGTCAATCAGACCAAGTCTGAATTTTCCTTTATTATGAAAATTACTCTGGGGGTGGGATGGTCCGAAAATAAGTGGTGAGATATTAGACGAGAATATAATGCTCGATGGCACATGGCTCGGCTTGGGCTGTATAAGCTCACCGAAGAATAGCAATATGTTGTCAACAAGAACCGGATTCCAATCGAGTAATCATGGTAGTGTCTCAGAAGTATACTAAATTGATATCGTTACACTACTCCTATACTACTGTTACTCCTATCACCAATGGCCTGCCTGCAGACTTACCGGAAGTCCTTACTAGCCTGGCTCCGGCTAAAGAGGCTGCTGCAAACGAGATTCCTCCAATTCACTTTCTATAATCTTCGTTAGACATCCAGACCTCCGCTTTTATGATTCGTCTATCACTTTCCGATGGTACTTATCTGCATGCATATCATTGCTGGTATTCGGCCATGCATCTACCACTACTCTCAAGATCCCCCTCGGTGTTCTTATGCTACTCTGCCTTTTCAGCTTAGATACTACAGCATCTCCAATCCTTGTCTTGTGATTTGGGTAATCAATGCTTATATTATTCAAATCTCTACTCGTGCTGACTATACTGCTCACATGCAGCCGCAGGAGCTGCACGAGGAGTATACCACATACTAAAGTGACAGCTGCAACAATCTATCCGTTGGACGCGAGTCAACGTCTAAAACAATCATCCCAGGAACCTACAGTCCTCCTACTCCAGCCAAAGCGCCGTGGCTAATTTGCATTGCATTTATCTTGAATCCATTGTTGTGCATCCATTGTCTCTTGGTTGCTGTAGCAGAAACCGAAAGGAGTTCCGTGGGATGGATAGCATACCTGTTGTTTGGTACAGTGAAAAGAAGCTGCCACCTGACGACCTGGGAGCTGGAGATTAATCGCAACCATTGATGTGAGACCTTGGAATTTCTGTTTTCCTACATTCCTGAAAGAGCTTCGCACGAAGGAGGGAAGTTTCGGACAGCGAATGCACACTATAGACTCCGTTTCTTGAAAAAGGGCGCCAGGGCTAAGATGGTGGCTTCGAAGGCGCTCTAGCTGATCCACGCACGGTGGATCAGTCCTTGTTCTCCCAGGAACAGATTCTTTTTCAGAATGCCAGAGATAAGGTTCAGCGCTTGAGATTACGAGTCAACTGAGGACTCTTCAGAAAGACAACACCTTCCGGGGCTCTGATTAAACCGGTGCCTGACCTTCATAAAGCACACTTCATACAATTGTCCATAGAGAACAGAATTGTCAGCAATCTCATGGTATATGGCGATATGGCTCCACTAGTAGAGACTAGGTATCAATACTTATGCTCATCATTCAGATGGTCTCAATTGAGTGGTGTAGAAGCCAAGGATTAGCAGTGGGTGGGTGGATGATATCATTGTCGATCAGGCAACCATGAATGAACTGCATCTTATCTCCGCTGCCTCCGCTTCCTCCGCACTCTCCGCATATAACCTGCTATCCTTCATTTTCATTTGTGACTATCTTCAACAATCTCGCAATGGAAGCTCACAAGACGGCCGTAGACGCGCTAGCCGCTCAAGTCAAGCAATTCCACGCCCGTCAGCAGCCCTTCCGCATCTATCATGGCTCGACCAACTCCACGCGCCAATCGCAGCACCACGCACACAACACCATCAGCACCGCCGACCTCAACCATGTGCTGCACGTCAACGAGGTCACCAAGACCGTGACCGTCGAGCCCAACGTGCCCATGGACGCCCTGGTGGCCGCGACCCTCGAGCACGGCCTCGTCCCGCTGGTGGTGATGGAGTTCCCCGGCATCACGGCGGGCGGCGGCTTCTCCGGCACATCCGGCGAGAGCAGCTCCTTCCGCCACGGCTTCTTCGACGCCACCGTCCTGCAGATCGAGATCGTGATCCCGAACGGGGAGATCCGGTCGGCGTCACCCACCGGCCCGTCCGCCGATCTCTTCTGGGGCGCCGCCTCCGCCTTCGGCACGCTGGGCGTCGTCACGATGCTGGAGATCCAATGCCGGCCGGCGCTGCCCTTCGTCGAGCTCACCTACCTCTCCACCACCAGCATGTCCGAGGCCATGGACACCATCCGCGCCGCCACCGCTGACCCCACGGTCGAGTACCTGGACGGGATCGTCTATGCCAAAGACCACATCGTCATCTGCGCCGGCAAGCTCACCGACACCTTACCCACGGCCACATCACCAGCTACATCCCCAGCTACAGCTCCCATCCAGCAATTCACCCGTCCCCACGACCCATGGTTCTACCTCCACGCGCAAGCTCGCGCCCCTCGTCGCTCCTCCCCCTCAGCATTACCCAAAGTCCCGCCTCCAAAAGACCACATCCCCCTCCAAGACTACCTCTTCCGCTACGACCGCGGCGCCTTCTGGACGGGCCGCTACGCCTACTCCTACTTCCTGACCCCCTTCACCCACCTGACCCGCTACCTCCTCGACAACTTCATGCACACCCGCGTCATGTACCACGCCCTGCACCAGAGCGGCCTCGCCGCCCAGTACCTGATCCAGGACGTCGCCGTCCCGTACGCCGCCACCACCACCTTCCTGGACTGGTTAGATGCACCCGAGAACTTCGGCCACTACCCCATCTGGCTGTGTCCGTTGCTCGTGCGCGACGAAGGCGGCGGCCTCATGACCACCTCTGGGCGACGCCGGCCCCGCCACAACACACAAAGCACCACTACGACTACCGTTGATTCTACTCCGCAGGATGAAACACAGACCCAAGCTACCACGCAAACTCCCCAGGACCAAGACAAGGACAAGGCAACCGACGAAGACGCCAAATACCTCCTCAACTTCGGCCTGTGGGCCCCCTCGCCGCACCGCGGGGACGCCTTCATCGACCACAACCGCCGGCTCGAGCGGAAGGTCCACGCCCTCGGGGGTAAGAAGTGGCTGTATGCGCATGCGTACTACACCGAGGAGGAGTTCTGGGAGATCTATGATTGGGAAAGGTACCGCAGGTTGAGGGAGAGGTATCAGGCGGCGTATTTGCCGGATTTGTGGGAGAAGGTGAGGGTGCGGTTGGGGCAGACGCAGGATGGGGAGGGGGCTGGGTGGGTTAAGTGGGGGAGGGGGTTGTTGGGGAGGGTTTGGCCGGTGAGGGGGTTGTATGGGGTTTGGAGGGCTTGGTGGGGGGGAGAGTATTACTTGAAGGGGTAGAGATTTTTGTTCTTTTGGATAGGGCTGGGGGGGATAGCTTGGGGCTTGAGGGACTGTACATTGTGCGAACGGTTATGCATGCACATATCAGCAAATTCATTTGTAACAAGTAAAGTAAAATATCATCAGGTCATTAGATGTTCAATATGTCGAGACAGTTGCTAGCTATCTCACAATCATGTCAATGTCCAACTTTATCAGAATGTCTTTCTACATCCACCAACCACTTTTAGTGCTGTCGCTTGAGCTCCTTTCTGAACGCCTCCTCCTGCTTCACCACCTCCAACGGAAGCATGTATCCGATGCCAAACAGGACGAACGGCGCCCACTTCCACCGGAATGGATTCACCAAGATGCAGAACACGAACCAGTAGATCAGCTCGGTGTAGGTGAAGAAATCGAACGCCCCGACGGGCGACATCTTCTTCATCAGCCGGGTGAAGTCGATCCAAGTCTTCATGCGGCCCTCGGTCGGCCGCGACAGCGGGTCCGTCAGGAACATGAGCAGGAACCGCGTGTAGATGCCGATGTGCATGTTGCCGACGGTGCCGATCGCGTTGACGTAGGTGCTGTTGTTGGCGCAGATGCTGGGGTACTTGGGCGGGAAGGTCTGGAGGTACCAGCTGGGCGGCGAGTACGGCTCCTCGAAGGCGTCGTCCGGCAGGAACGAGAGCGAGGGCCGCTTGAAGCCCGTCGCCATGATCACCACATCGCCCGGCACGAGGGACTCGTGGCCCGGGCCGCCCTTGGGCACGCCGCGGCTGCGAAAGTTGAACCGGATCCCGTCCGCCTCGGCCGAGACGATGTCGCCGCGCAGCCAGCGCGCCTTACCCTTGCGGATCTGCTCGAAGAGCTCCGAGTTGGCCATCGGGGTGCCGGTAAACAGACCGCCCGAGGGGGCGATGTCGGACAGGTCGCGGTAGAAGAACTTGCGGAGTAGTGATTCTGGGATCCACGAGAGGGAGGTCTCTTGGCCGAGGATGTTCATCGCCAGCAGCGACTGGACGAATACGTTGCGCGGGATGACCCATTTGTCAGAGCGTGAGAGAACGTCGATCTCGGCGGCGTGGTTCTTGACGGCGAACTCCAGCGCTTCGATGGCACTGGCGCCGCCGCCGATGATGAGCACCTTCTTACCTTCCACGGATTTGCCGTCCAGCTCGGAGGAGTGGTAGATCTGGCCCTTGAACTTCTCCTGGTCCGGGAGGGGGGGCATCTTGGGGTCACCGCACACTCCGACGGAGGCAATGATCCCGTCGAAGCGACCATACTTGGATTCGTCGTTGTTAATGATCCATCTACCGTTCTTGGTCTGCTTGACCGAGGTGATCGGTGTGTTGAAGGTTGTGTGCTTCTGCAGGTCGTAGCGCTTCCAGAGGCTGGCGATCTGTTCTTTGATCTCTGCTTGTGTTGGGTAGGCGGCGTCGTATTTCACTGACGGGTGGAACCGATACATAAGGCTGTGGATTTGCAGAGAGGATGTCGAGTTGACACGCTGCGGGTCGGGTTAGCACGTTTGATTGCGCGGGAGTGCGAGGACTCTTACACTCCAGATGCCTCCAAGACCCTTGTCTTTGGATCTGGCTTCGAAGATTTCGACATCGAACCCATGGCCGACGCAGTGTGCTGCCGCTGAAACTCCGGTAAGACCAGCGCCAATCACGGCGATTCGCTTCTTCGGGAGGCCATCTGTATCAGCCGTCGGCTTGGGAGGATTGGGGGCAAAGATCCAAGTGATCAAGTGCTGAAAAAGCATGTAGAAGACAGTCCATGTCTGTAGGAATGGGTGCTTTAGAAACGCCGATATGGAAAGTCCTGGTTGATTTTTTTCCGCCATGGTTGGATGCCACTCAAAAGCAGCTGGTAAGGTAGAACTCGAATAGGTTTCTTGACTGTAATTAATCTGGGACGAGAGAGACTGACTGGGGAAGCAGGAACCTTTTCAATGGGACTCGGAAGGGGAAACGATGATGATGGGGGCTTGAAACAGCCATGTTCAAAGCATGACGTAGTTGTGGATCGGCCATCGTGCGAAGCATGTGAATGCGGGCACCACCCACACATTGCCCACTGAGTTCCTCTCCGGATGAAAGAGCCATGCACTAATGACTGCGATTGCATAATTCCCGCAGGCCCATCAGAGAGAGCTGACCTTGTTCCTCTTCGGTTATCTGTCCCTTCATTCATGTTTGCGTGTGAGATCCCGGGGTCCTCCGGCTGGTGGGACTATCCACTCCGAATCAGGTCGCTGACGCTAGGACCAGGAGTCCTTTGAGCGTCTCGTGGATTGACTATGTGAAATTTGATTCTATTCGCTTGGTATTTGGTAACACCATACTGCTTCCACGTGGTTGTGTAACCTCGATCTGAACGGTCCGTCCGGAGACCATCTTGATTTCCTCCCAATGGTGGTCATCTCAATGGTGCTGGTCTCAATTAAGTGACTTAAGAATGACTATGCTCAGAGAACACTCCGAATGCAGGTGTCTGCAACAAAAGCTCCGACTGCAAGGATGGTGATGGGCTATGGCGTACATGAGTTGCTGATCTGTGTGGTTCTATATATAGCCGAGGCCTCGGTCCCGAACCATTGTGAATGTCTCGTCCCAAGACTCTCGGTAGCAGTACTCAAGTGTCCGGGATAAAGTAACAAGCAGCTATCGTCAAGTCATCACTGTAGTGTGAGATGGGTTGAGAATAGAAGGTAAGTTGACCCCGACTAGAGGATGGCCGCCAAGCTTCAGCACAGATTTCCCGATCGAGGCTAGTGTGAAGCTGCGGCGGTGGGAGCTTATCCATCCCATCCAACATTCTGCCGCCGTCCAGACCTCCGATTGCTCCAATTCATCCAAGCTGCGTCCCCGGCCTCTACCTTCCAGACCCTAGTTCAGGGTCTCGTTCATTCTCTTCGCCGTCGCATCATGTGTGACATTCGTTGAGTTGCCTTTCAAAACACCTCCCGCAAGTCATTCATGACCATCGCGTCGATAGCGAATCCGTGATCTTCGGCCTGCCTCGCTTCCCATTCCTTCCACGACGGACAAAATGGCCACACCAACCCTGGATCGCTTCTTAGCGAGCGTCGCAGATATCGTCAAATCCCGAGATGGAGCCAAGCTACAGGACTTTCTACAGATTGAGCCTCCCCTTCCCGATGTCTATCGGCAGATGACCAACGAGCTACGGCAACACCATCCTTCTGGTCCGCGGGAAACAGATCTATTGCGACGATGTGAAGGATTGGTTCCAAAGTCCAAGGGTAGCTCTTGGACCGCTTTTGCGACTTTCATGAAGCTTTACTGCACTTTTCTACGAGATGTGAATGTCGATAACCTGCTCGAGACATACGATCTTCTCAAGGGACTCGTCAAGTATGCATTGCATTTTTTTTCCAGATTGCATTCGCAGACACTGACCTTACTGCATACAGTCAATGTGTTCTTGCATTGGGTGATAGTCAAATGGGCGTTATTGTCTTACCGACCGTTCTGTACCTCTCGAAAGTCCTCGCGAAGCTGGCCATGGGCCTCGACCGTCGTCCCGAACTGATTGCACACCTGCTCCGACTCGACGGCCGTTCAAACCAGGATGAGACTGTGGAGAAGGTGACACTGGTGGAGAAATCGGCAAACGTGGTTCGGGAGGCCTTCATCAAGTGCCTTACAGACCGAAGTGGTACGCCAGGGATCCATGGAAAACCCGAAGGCAAGCGCATTGGTATCTACTTGATGGCCAACCTCTGCCTGAAGCTACTCTTCCAGGTAATACCGGGCCGTGAAATTGGCATTTCGTGCTCTAACCATGACTATACAACAGTGCGGCAAACTTCGAAATGCGGAGCAAATGTTCGCGAGTATCAGCGCACAATCCCCGCCCCTCAGATACTTCCCGGCCTCCCAGAGGGTGACATACCTATACTACCTCGGGCGCTACCTATTCGCCAACAACCTCTTCTATCCTGCACAGATTGCCCTACAGGCCTCGTACGACCAGTGCCACCATCAGGCGCTTAGCCAGAAGCGAGCCATCCTCACCTACCTGATCCCATGCAATATCATCTTGGGCCGGTTCCCCACCCTCCAACTGCTGCAACGTCCGGAAGCCGAGGGACTGGCAGACAAATTCATTCCGATCTGCCGCTTGATCGCTCGTGGCGACTATATCGCCTTCCGGGAGCACTTGGCTGTTGGTTCACCCGAAACAGAATGGTTTGCGCGTAAAGGGATCCTTCTTCCGCTGCGCACCAGATGTGAGATACTTGTGTGGAGGTCGCTTTCTCGTAAAGTTTTTATTCATGGTGGTTTTCACGGTGACCCCCAAGGCCAGAGTCGTGGACCGCCCCCATTCTTATACCTTAGCAAACTTGAGGTTGCTATTCAGTGGATCCAATCTCAGCATACAGTCCCAGCGCAACAGGCTTATGGTTTCTTCGCCTCTCGACCCGAGCTCGATGCACAGGCTGGAAACAACCGTGTTGGCTCCCAGATAGTATACAAACCACTAGACTGGGACTTCGAAGGTGTAAACGAACTTGATGCGCAAGAAGCCATACCTGGACCCAGCCTGATAGCCAAATATGCTGATTACCTGGCACCTGATGGGTATTTCGATGCTCAAGGGCAATGGCAAGCCAATCCAGCAGGGAACCTGGTTGACGGCCAGCCCTCGGCAGATTACAAGCAGTTTGAGCTTGACCCATACGCCAGCCGCCCTGACCTTGAGCCCGAAGAAGGGAAACCTACTTTGATGATGCGGGAGATTGAGTCAATTCTAGCTTCCCTCCTGACCCAAGGCCTGATGCGCGGTTACCTGACCCACAAAAATCCCCGTTTAGCCATCCCGGGCGCGCGCCTTCGTGGAGCCGTGCCTACCGGGTTTCCCAACGTGTGGCAGACAATTTACGCTCGAGAAAGTGAAGATGACAACGTTCCAGGCTGGGTTCAGCCTTCAGCCGCCGCAGCGATGCCTACGGCTGGCGGAGGAAGAGTGGTCAATCTCTCGGGAGCACGACCTGTTGGCGTTCAATGAAGCACGATTTCGGCGCACTTTCCTTCACCACATCGACAAGTTAGACCCCTGTATATAACAGTCCCGTTTTGTTCTCGCATTATACCAATTAGACGACTATGAAACACCTTGAACCCGAAAGGCAGAGTAATTATGAGATTCAGTTTATATAGTTAAAACTGATATTGAAGTCGAGTCTCGGAGATCCGAACTCCCGAGCACCGACCATTACATATCGAGCAATTACGGCCGCCAAATCTCGATCTCCGAGACACGTGCGCTCGAAGCATACGCTGTGATTGGGTAGGAGAAGGATCAGACGTTGACACTCGGTATCGGGCCCGAGATCTCGGCCCTATCGCAACAGCCGAGCCTGCGATCTGCAACTAAAGCCGACCCGACTGTAGGCGGGTTCCTGCTTCTGCAGACTTTCTGGCTCGAGTCAACGGTGGGCAATTCTGCAAGCAGAATGCGTAAGTACACATGAAGGATAAGATTAATTCTTGTCTGCAGCCTGCGGGTCCTCCCGGTGGTTGCGACCCACGTCATGCAGTTATCTTGTTGAGAAATCTTTAGTACAGCCGTACGAAGGCACTGCCAATGGTTACACTAGCTACTCGAAACGACGACGACGACGGACGATCCTCACTGCCGAGTTGCGAGACAAATCCGCGGGACAAGCTTGCTTGCGACCCAAGCTTGATGGTATATAAGGAGGGTTATATCCAGACATCCTCTTGTCCAACAGCCAATCTCGTCCTCATTCACTCTCTTCTCAGTCTCAGTGTCAGAACGTGGGCGAACAATCTTTCCTCATGCACGTCATCTCCACCCTGGCCGGCCTAACAGCCGTTGCGCCACTGGCAGCGTTCGCTAGTCCTTTGGCACGATCTTCCACCTCGCAATTGCCAATCATCAATACCACCCTGGGTGATGTGCAGGGTCAATACTCACCTTTTCGTGGCGGCGATGTGGCTGTTGTCTATAAAGGAATTCCTTTTGCTGCTCCCCCTACAGGAGACAATCGCTGGAAGGCTCCTCAACCTGCCACATCGTGGAGTGGTGTTCTCAATGCGACTGAGTTTGGTCCTCAGTGTGCCCAGACTATCAGCAGTGCGGGTATCTTCAGCAGTGGCAAGACTACTACGAGCGAAGACTGTCTATACCTGAACATCTGGACGCCCAACTACAACGACACCTCGGACATCACATCTAAGAATCTACCTGTGTACTTCTGGATCTACGGTGGTCGGTTCGAAGGAGGCTCGGGAGATGTGCTGACCTACGATGGCACCGGTCTCGCAGCCAAAGACATTATTGTCGTGACCATCAACTACCGTCTGGGTGCATTCGGTTACCTTGCCCACCCCGAGCTTTCCGCTGAGTCCGGCCACAACAGCTCCGGCAATTACGGCATCCTTGATCAGCAAGCTGCGCTGCGTTGGGTCCACGAGAACATCGCTAACTTCGGTGGAAATGCCAGTCAGATCACAGTGGGCGGACAGTCTGCCGGCTCTGCCAGCGCCCTCGACTCCATGTGGAGTCCTCTGAACAAGGGCCTGGTGGCGGGTGTCATCGCCGAAAGTGGTGCGCGTGGCCCTCACGACCCTATGACGGGCAGTGCAGCAACCAGCTACCGTACTAAAGCTGCTGCTGAAGCCCAGGGTGTTGAGTTCCTCAAGGAATTGAATGTTACCAGCCTTGCTGCGGCCCGTAAGGTTTCCACGGAAACGTTGATTGGATACGACTCGCTCAGCGACACCATCTTCGGAGGCACTCAGTTCCAGAACCTGTCCAGCTTCTTCATGGAACCGCC